TTTGTTCAACGGAATATAGTATTTCATACATCCGGCTTCATGGACATGTGGTAGGCATCGAATTGTGTAGAATATTATTTATTTATGGAAATTGTTAATGATTATATTACGACGATATTGCCCGAAGTGAACCATCGCAAAGTGTACCTCAATTAGCATATTATGAAATAAGCCAGTCACGATGTACAGACGGCTCGCATCGAATTTATTATAGAAGTTTTCATGGATCAATCACTCGTTAGGAAGATACAAATTTCAAACTAAAATTCAAATAAAAAATCTATTAAGGTCATATAGTCATTTTCCAAGCGTAACTTAGATGTAGCAGAAGGCCGAACGTAGGGGTCACCCAGCGAGTATCGAACTCCCTACAGTCATAATTGTTCTAGCGAGACAAGATTGTTAACCCTTATACCACCTCGATGTGTGCAATGTTTTTTCTAAGTGTAGTTTAGATGTGGCACAAGGCCGAAAGTGTAGGGCAACCAGTGATTATTTTCTAAGTGTAGTTTAGATGTGACACAAGGCCGAAAGTGTAGGGCAACCAGTGATTATTTTCTAAGTGTAGTTTAGATGTGGCACAAGGCCGAAAGTGTAGGGCAACCAGTGATTATTTTCTAAGTGTAGTTTAGATGTGGCACAAGGCTGAAAGTGTAGGGCAACCAGTGATTATTTTCTAAGTGTAGTTTAGATGTGGCACAAGGCCAAAAGTGTAGGGCAACCAGTGATTATTTTCTAAGTGTAGTTTAGATGTGGCGCAAGGCCGAAATTATGGGGTAACTAGTGAGGATCAACCTCACTTTTAAGTCGTAATTAATCTAGAAAGACAAGCTTGCTCGCCGCTACACTACGCCGAGGTACCATCTATTAAGGTCATATATCATGATAGTGAGCCAACTTGGGCAAAATGCTAGCCCAAGATAAACTAAGTCTTATAAGCATCGAAATAGGATTCGTGTTTGAGTCTGTTAATAGAAACGTCTGGTTTCTAACTTTATGTATATCACATTTGTAGTGGTGAGAGGCTTCCTTATACCGTGATGTAAGCATTTTTTTTTATTATTCTGTAACAAGAACAGGTTGCGCTGATACTAAGCTGGTTTATTTAGGGACGATATTAGAATGATCCTGAACTTATACGTAGAGTATACCGCCTGCATGCAGATGGAGAATTAGTTCAGTAATGCTCAAAAATATAAAAGGACAAAAGACAATGATATATTCCTCACCTGTCCTGGATATGACGATAAACTACATCCAGCAGCAAGACCTCTGATCATGAGGTTTTTAGGAGTGTGGAGCCAACACTTAATTGATGGTTTTCCCAAGTCTACCATGACCCGGGTTGGTAGCACCTGTTAGGTGCCCAGCAATGTGTAAATAGTGACCCCGCCTAAACTGGGGTCAAAACAGCATAAATGTATAAAATATAGCAAAATACAAACAATACATTTTCATAGTAAAAAAAAAAAAAATAAGAGCAATATATTTTTGTAAATAAAATTACTAATTCTCCCAAGAAAATTAAATTTTGGCCTTAAATGACCCATAAGGAGTTGATATGCCGGTAAAAAAACAAACAAACAATGATTCCTCGCAGGAGACATTATATTGAGACGTTTCTGCGATAATTAGAAGGCCTACCAGGATTCATTACTGTTATGGTCCAGGTTAGAACCAAGGAAGAACAACGAAGAAATAACGAAGGTATATCACACGAAATAGTAATACAAGATGTGGAAGGTGTTAGTATGACTGTCAGTCTGCTTTGGAGTGAACTAATATCGGTTCGACTCGATTCGATATCTAGCCCCTTCCCCCACGAGGGTTGCATATGACACAATGCCGAATTTAACGTGGGTTTTCCGAGCCCGTAGGCTAGGCCAAAAAATGCCTGTAGGAGCTCTAAAAACACAATCGGGTTAGTCAACCTCCCCGAACGAGGCTCTGCCCTTCGGCGGAGCCCCTCGGTTCGTTTCGATATTTAATTGCCCCCCACTAGGGTTGGATGTGGCACAAGGCCTAGTTTAACGTGGGTTTTCCGAGCCCGTAGGCTCGGCCAAAAAATGTCCGTAGAAACTGTTAAAACGAAATCGGGTTGGTCAACCTCCCCGAACAAGGCTCTACCCTTCGGCGGAACCTCGTCCGGGTTCCTCTCTGCTCAGCGGCAGAGAGTTCGAGCGTCAAGCCGAAACGGTTCGACTCAATTCAGTATCTAGCCACCCACTCCACGAGGGTTGCATGTGGGATAAAGCCGAGTTTAACGTGGGTTTCCCGAGCCTGTAGGTTCGGCCAAAAAATGTCCGCAGAAACTGTTAAAACGGAATCGGGTTGGTCAACCTCCCCGAACGAGGCTCTACCCTTCGGCGGAACCTCGTCCGGGTTCCTCTCTGCTCAGAGGCAGAGAGTTCGACCTGTCAAGCCGAGAAGCTGGGCTTGATTCGGTATCTAGCCACCCCACCACGAGGGTTGCATGTGGCACAAGGCCGAGTTTAATGTGGGTTTCCCGAGCTCGTAGGTTCGGCTAAATATTGCCCGTAGAACCCGTTTAAACGGGATCGGGTTGGTCTCACCTCCCCGAACGAGACTCTGCCCTTCGAGAAGCTCGGCTCTATTCGACCCTTTCTCTTGAGAGGCTTAGTATACATAGTGTTAAGATGAGTTTATTCTGTAATTATAGGTAAGAACCCATGGCAATTACTGGTGCCACTCACACTTTTACTAACATAATGACAGAATGTCGATAACCACTCCAGAAAGGAAACTACAGAAACTCCGAGAGTGCGTAATAAGAGAAAGGTAAGCAGTGAACTTAATCATCAAAAAGGTAGAATCCATGGTTTTCAGCAAAAGAAATAATAAGAAATCTGCCCAAGATACGAGCTAAGAATTGGTGATGCAGAAACACGCCAGGAATCCTTAAATATCATGGAGCTTTTCAAGATAGATGGAAAACGTATCACCGGAAACGGAACTAATAATCAGTCAGTTATGTGCCATGCGTGATACACGCTTAGGCGGTCATTACTGACGAAGCATTTTTTCCCACAGTAGGTTGCCATTTCTTTCTAAATCAAACCAACTGCCATCCAAGGCTATAGAACCTGGTCTGTTCTGCTATTTACCCATAGCTGGAGGAGGGAGAAGAGGAAGATTCATACCTTTACCTAGGGTATTAGCAAGTAAGGTGATGTCATGGATTCGACTGGAATTCGAACTCGGCTCTCCGATTCCTCAATTCGAGTCGTTATAAGAAACAGAAAAAGGTTCCTTAGAATATTAAAAAAAAACGAGTGGTGAACTGTTAGGTAATACCAATCTTCGAATATGGCATCGAATGCTGATAAATCTATTCACTGACGATGAATTAATTTACAGCCAAAGAATTGTGGTTTTGGAAACTGATGCTGAGAATAGCAGGCACATATTTTGTGAGCAACCATGAAGCTTTAATTAAAATGGTAACAAAAAGGACACATATATCTAGGATTAGACATAATTGACATTTCTATACGACACATACAAAAGAAGGAGGTCTTGGAGAAATTGACACTCACAGTATCTATTGAAGTCAAGAGCGGCAGAAGAAAAATCGAATGACCTATCTAAAGAGCGTGTGTAAAGGGATTAGGAGTGATAGAAAAATATTTATTAATAGATACAAAGAATTGTGTGTCGTCGAGAGGCTTGACCGTCTATGTCCCGGTTTGAAGGTTGATCCATTCGAACTATACACGAGCAGCAAAACCTGATACATTTATACCTTGGAGAAACAAGCATGGACGAGTGACGCTGCAGGCCAATTCGCAACTACCTCAGCCAGTAAGTCAATTGAGAGATGTATGAAGAGATACGCTATAGACAATTTTATGTTCATTAATAAAATGGAATTTAGAGAGTGCTTTTTCGCGTCCGTGTTCGCTCAGATGGACACATTATGATGGGTTTCCTGCACGTGACTCTAAATAAGTGGTTGAAAGAGGAAATAGACGCGGAGACGGCGCAGTGGACAAAAGGCTCGTACGCATAGATGAAATCGAGAAAAACAGAGAGGGACGTAGACATTTTGCAAGGTGATTGCGCATATTTAAAAGCAGAGAAGTACTACTCGTATAACTAATAACTGATACTACTAATAATAATGATGATAAGTGTTATTATTATTATTATTAATAATAATAATAATGATAATTGAGAGATCTAAAAAAAATGCGAGAAGGCTTTTAAGGATAACTCATTTGCCTAACGTGTTAGACCGAAGTGCAATCTAGCGAATGACTACAATATTGGCCGAGAATAAAACGCCTGGAAATATAAGTAAAAAACGATAAAATTATGTGTATGTATATATATATATATATATATATATATATATATATATATATATATATATATGTGTGTGTGTGTGTCTGTATCTGTGTGTTCGTGTGTGTGTGTATCTGTGTGTTCGTGTGTGTGTGTGCTTGTGTGCTTTGGAAAGAGAGAGACAGAGAGAGACAGAGAGAGAGAGAGATGTATGTTTACAAGAGTTCCGGGGGAACATATATATGCGTATATGTGAATGTCTGAGACAATGTATAAAAGAGACGTATCAATACTCATATGTGTACACAAAATTGTATACTAATTATTATATACAATTCTATATATACATACAGTTATATTTATATGTATATATATATATATAATTTTATATATATACATGTATATATATATAAAATTTTATATATATATAAATTGTATATATGTATATACTTTTTATATATATATATATATATATATATAATTATATACATATATAATTATATATAGAATTATATACATACAATTATCTATCTATCTATTTATCTATATATATATATATATATATATATATATATATATATATATATATATAAAAATTACTATATATTCAAATTTATATATGTCTATACAATTATGTATATATAAGTTATGTAAAAAAATATGACTATATTTAATGAATATAAAGCCAATGTTACGATAGAGAGAGAGAGAAAAAAAAGAAAGAAAGAAAGATAGATAGATAGATAGATAGATAGATAGATAGATAGATAGATAGATAAATGAAACTGAAGGAACTCGTATAGATGTTAGCAAAGGAAAGCGAGAAGAAAAGACTAAACATCAACTGTATGAAGACAGAATGTTCTGGTGTCAGCAAATTAAACATCCCAATATCAAAATCAAACAAGTGTGTCAATTTAAATATGTAGGGATATAATATAGGCTGTATCTCGAAAATTCGACAGCGAAATCCGAAGGCGCATTGCAAATAATGCTTTTCAGGAATTAAACACAAGATCAAAAAACAGTAAAATTGCATTGAAAATAAAGAAAAAGGGGACTGAACTGTTATGTGTTATCGATATAAGATTGCGAAGAGACTTGAGGTAACATAAATGGGGTTCATGAGAAGTACGATGAAAATACCATGGACGGAACGATTGAGCAACGACGACGTTTTGAAATAATGGGGACAAAAATGTCACTTATACGTAACTCCAGAAAGAGCCATTTGAAAATTACAGGGCACATCATAGCGGAAGAGGGCTTGACGTTCACAGGACAAATTGAAGGAAAAAGAGGCAGAGGAACGTAGCCCATAATCCCTCTCTAACGAAATTGTTTAAATTGTTTGATAAAATGCGATTATGCGATAAAGCACAAAAAATATTACTAAGGGTTACAAAGTAAAGGAGATTTTAAAGTGTCATGTCATGATCGCACTCATTCTCAAATAACACGACACTTAGAAAAAGAAAAAGGAGAGAGAATAAGGGGGAAGTGAATGAAGAAGAAGAAGAAGAAGAAGAAGAAGAAGAAGAAGAAGGGGGAGGAGGAGGAGGAGGAGGAGGATAAAAAGATGAAGAAGGAAGAAGAGAAAAAAGAAGAGGAAGGGTGAGGAGGAGCAGAATAAAAGGTAGGAGGAGGAGGAAAAGAAGAAGTAGGAGAAAAAAAAATTAAAAAAATACATTTCCTTTTTCAAAATTTAATTGAATCGAAATAACAGGAATTTTCCCCTCTCAAATCGATCTGCTCAAGCAGTGAAGAATACAATTTCATATATATATATAGACAATTATATATATATATATATATATATACAATTATCAATTATCCATATATATATATATATATATATATATATATATACAATTATCAATTATCCCTATCTATCTATCTATCTATCTATACAATTATCCTATATATATATATATATATATATATATATATATATACAATTATCAATTATCCCTATATATATATATATATATATATATATATATATATATATACAATTATCAATTATCCCTATATATATATATATATATACAATTATCAATTATCTCTCTCTCTCTATATATATATATATACAATTTTATATATATAAAAATACTATATACAAATTTATATTTATATATGTTTATAACATTATACATATACAAATGTCTATATCTATATCTATCTGTCTATCTATCTCTCTTTCTCTCTCTCTCTCTCTCTCTCTCTCTCTCTCTCTCTCTCTATATATATATATATATATATATATATATATATATATATATATATATATATATATATACGGATTTATATGCTTAAATACAAATGTATATAGAGTGAAGCAGAAATCGTTTCCGATCTGATCGGATTCTCGTTTAAATGCTGTCTAAAGTACGTTGACTTAAGCCGTCGGTAAGCCGGGTTTATGCCGTAAATTTGTTCTTTTATGTGTCACCATTAAAAAAGTCAAGGGGTTCCAGACTTGTTGAAATCTGATCTTCTTCGTCCAATCGACCTGTTTGGCAAAATCTGATCAAAACAGGCCGTTGCAATCATTGTGGTCGTATGATGGTGTCTCATCTTGGTGGATCTAGAACTTCTCATTAAAATCCACTTGAATGCGCGGCATGAGAGTTTATCGCAACACATTCAGGTAAGCAGAACTTACCACACTACCGTCAAACACAACGGTCCAATTAAGACTTTGTTGATAAGCCTCGCCACTACGTAAATCTCGCGAAATCAAGATCTTCCTCTACAAAAGGGTGAAGACGTCATTATGTCTAAACAACGTTTCTCGTATGATCACCGAAGTTGAGAAACGTTGATCCTGGTCAATATCGAGATGTGTGACAGCTTGGTATGTGTGACGTGCTTCGGTATGCAGGGGTTGTAAACGGGCTCGTAATTCTAATTTGGAGAGGCGAGTTCCAATTTCAGTCAGGCCCGTTATATTCACTTACGCGAAAACAGCCTTGGGAAAGATAGAAATATACCTCTTCTTCCAACCAGTTATGGCTTAATTAGTATAAGTTCATCAGCAAATTATTATCTCCAAACAAACTTTTACAATCTAAACATATTTTCTAGCTTTAAATAACCTGCAAAGGGTTGATAAACTATAAAAAAAAACGAATCAATCAATGAAGCTTACACGATTTGCCGCTTCACAATTCCCAAGTGGGTTCATATTTGGCTGTTAACTGGTCATCTAATTTAAATTTAGCGTCACCACTCCCGACTTTGTTTAAATATGAACTTTTACACATCTTGTCAAGTATGACTCTGTCTTAGAGTCAGATCGCATTCAATAAAAGGATGGGATATTTCAATTGATTATTCAGTTATGTGCCATGCATGACACATGCTTAGGTGATCATGTATCTTTCGATACATAACTGACGAGGCAGATTTTTTCCCGCACCCGCAGTAGTTTGCAATTTCTTTCTGCAGTAGACCAGTAGCCATCCAAAGCTATAGAATCCGGTCTTTCATGCTATTTGTCCATAGCTTTGGGGGAGAAGAAGACGATACATGCCTTTCCCAAGGGAATTAGCACGTAAGTGAATGTAATGGATTCAACTGGAATTCGAACTCAGCCCTCTGATACCTTAATCCGAGCCACTATAAGTATGATTATGAAAATCTTAAGACTCGATTGTGGCTCAGATTTTCTTGAACACTAGTGATAGGGTTTCAACATATGTTCTTGCTCTATGGGATTCGTCAATGTCCGCCGGTTTTTGGAACATTTTTTTTTTGATTATTCTCAAGCTTTCATTATATTTCCAACTCATCTCTATTTCGAGTAAAGGTCACTCGCATAGGAGGATTAACTTGAAACATCCTGATTAGATGGTCATGTCTTTGACCTTTTGGGATTTCATGTACTTTTCGGATTATACAAATATACATATCCATATATCCGATTCGCACGAGATTCAAATTGTATATACATTGGTCCGGTTTGCACGAACATCAAGTTAGACAAAGCTATGGTGTGCATGTGAATCAAAACATAGATATAGAGAGTCGAAAAACATACTGGTATGGTTGGCACGAATTTGAAAAAGTTGGATATCAGTTTTGAATTGCCTAAAAGTTTTGCTCGAGGGTAAAACAAAAATATTCTCAAATGTAGAGTTTAACTTGTATGGCCGGTATAAAACGAAAATATTTAGCATCGAGTTGTAAACAAGTGAGATATTCCTCCTAATAATTACTGTACACCATCTATCCTACCTCCAGCAGACTGCCTCTAAAACGTGTGTTTAATGAATATATTTGGCATATTAACATAAATATTAATATAAATTAATAAAATAGTAATACAAATTAATAATTCTATTAACGCTACAATATACGTGCGTGTCTTGTAGGTTGTTTGCTATACAACACATATAGAAATATATTACGGTTAGTATCTAAATAATTAACTGGCGTGACTTTATTTAGTTTGGACATATATTATCGTATACTATGTGCTAATTTAGCTGTAGTCCTAGATTTTGGGCCACTGCTGCTCTACTGCATATTTGGGGGTAGATCTATATGCCTAACTTCAAATTTTGAGTTAAAGCCCTTGAGGCCGATTTGTCCGCCAGGTTGACATGCACGCCGTTATTTATGCTTTTTATATACGAGAAATGAACATCACATAGATCTTACAGTTACATCTAGCCAATTTGTAGCAGGTTGCAACAAATATATCCCACTTAAACTCGTGTTTGGCGAACATATTTGGCATATTAACACAGAAATTGATAAAATAATAAGACAAATTCACTATTCTATTAACGCTGCTGCATACACACCGTGTCCAACATGTGATACACTAATTCAGCCGGTCATTCAACTTGGTATACGTCTTCATTATTATTTCATAATTTTTACCGGCGGAGCCATGGGAATTAACTACCAACAATTACTGTACACAACGTACGTCCAGCAGGCTGCCACGGGTATATCCCACTAAAATTTGTGCTTGGTGGACAGTTACCATATTGACACAGAAATTAATATAAAATAACAAAATAGTCATACAAATTCAGTATTCTATTAGCACATCGGATAGCGGCTCGGATTGAGGAATCGGAGATCCGAGATCGAATTCCATTTGAATCCATTACATTCACTTACGTGATAATACACTTTGGAAAGGTATGAATCCTCTTCTCCCCATTGGTAAATAGCAGAGCAGACCGGATTCTATAGCCTTGGGTGGCAACTAGTCAAAGAAATGACAACCTAGTGTGGGAAAAATCTGCCTCGTCAGTCATGTATCAAAAGATGCATGATCGTTAAGCGTGTATCACGCATGGTACATAACTGACAGATTAACACATCGCCTACAACAGTTGATTTACTAAGAGTAAACAGTGGTATTACTGTCGATGTCTCCATGTACCTTATGTAGAATATTTTATACAAAGGGCTAACTTTATTCACCGGCAAGCCTAAATCTTGGGATACTGATAGCCTATTGTATATTTAGGGATCAACCTACACAGTTGGCATTGACCTAACACAGAATTTGGGGCTAAAATCTTGAGAGCGACTTGTACGATACAATTTAGAGTAGATCATGTTTGCTCGGGAATAAAAAATAGAATGTCGACACGAGTTTATGTTTGTCCGAGAGCCAAAAAGTGAGACATTTGTACGGTTTATTACGAGAGTGGAAAAGACAGAGATCCGCTCGATTAGCGCAATGTAGACCTCAGTCCAGTTTTCACGGATAACAGAGACGTCGACATGGCTCCGTTTTGGAATTGGTTTGTTTTGGCTGGGTTTGATTTACCTACCACGACGGAGTATAACGTAAACTTATTTCTGATTCAAAAC